CCATCACACTATTCGTCAAAACATTAGACTCCTCATTTGAATTTTGCCTTATCACTTTTTCTGAGCATCAATTAATGATGTGTTTTTACGTACGTTTTGTGTATGTGGATAGCTTTTTATTTATAAAGCAAGAAGCAAATAGATCAAAAATTTCTTCACTAAGTAATACTTAGAATCAAAGAGCGTCTGAATAATAATAAAAAAAGTTTTATGAAGAGTTAGCTTGAAGGGAATATCAGATTTTTTTGAAGATTAAAAGCTTGATCATCTAATTTCTTTGGTCGATAAAATTTCTGAAATAATTTGCAGAGAATAAAATTGCAAGTGGGCATGAATGATTGGCTTAGAATGGATTTTGCTTTTGTTATAAAATATCGTGTGTAACAATATTAGTAAACGAAAATATATTTGATTTGGGATAGTAACGCGGTTTAAAGTTTGTGTTGTGGTTTATTATCGTTAAACGTTCACTATATGCGGCAAAACTTTCTTCAAAGCTCAGGTCAAAGTGAAAAAGAAATTAATGTTATTTTATCCACAAATTTGATTAAAAAATATAAAAAATACTTGTCAATTTTTTTGCTTCTTTTTGATTTAATTTACAACTGCGTTCACTCTGACATACATACTTTTGAACTTTTATAAATGCTTCCAACTTACAATTTTTTCTGGACGAGCTGAAAACCAGTTCTTTGATTAAAAAAATTGTTTTACTAACTGTTGATCTTTGCTATCAATTCAACGACGAAATCTCTAAATTTTGTTTTGTTTTTTGTGCAAACATTCATGGTGCCAAAAATCAAAGTCTGATCAAAAGAGTTAAAAAATCACAATTTCAAACTCAATTTATAAAATTTTATACACTATACAAAAGTGCGCAGAATTTTTCTCAATTTAGCAGTAAATAAAATATAAAATTTAGGCGACTTGAATCAGAGTTTTATTCTAAAAATTAAATCCATTAAGTTTTCTAATAATTTCATCTTCATGTCACAAAAGAGAGTAAAATAATGTGAGAAGGTGTGTTCCACTGTTCGATCAACATTTTTTGAAAAAAAAAATGATTGCTCCATGCTTTTTCTTGAAAAACTAGTTAGTCTTGCCAAAGAAAAGGCAAATCTTGATTTTCGATTCTTTGAACTACAACTATTCACTAACTATGTAGGGTATCAAATTCAAAATCTCCCATAACTTTAAATTCGACGTTAAATAATTCCATTTTAAACAAAAGTTCTTCCAATTAATTTCCGAATTTATCAAAACTGAGAGCATCTTCAAAGCTACAAGCAGCTTTCATTGCAAAAATTGATCCAATGTTTTTCAACAGCAAAAGCTGCATTCATTTAGGCAAAGCATTTTAATTATTGTCTAGTATTTATTAAGCAAAAGTATAAGAAAGGCTAAAATCTCGAAGTAGTTAAACGATCGTCTTTAAAATTCTAGATAGTGAATTAGATCCATTGGAAGGGGCGGATTTCATTCTCAAGGAATCGACCCCCTGCCGACCCAAAAATTCAAAATTTTGCCTTCGGCGCAGAAAGTTTGGTCAAAACAGGGACTTTCTAGTGCTTCGGGAGAGCTAGAAATATCAATTTGGTCGACCTAAAAAAAGGCCGAGAATTTTTTTTGAAAATCCGCCCCCTGCCCTCGGGAAAATCCTAGATCCGCCCCTGTCCATTGGTGTCTAATTTTTTCAAGAAATAAATTTTCAAACCTTTTTTCCTTTTTTCTATAATGTTTTAAAGAATATTTTTTGCGTAAATTTTTTTCTAAGTATATCACCAAACTAGACTTTCTCAAATATCGCTTAAAATTTTTTTAACACAAATTGAGTGTTATACTTTTTCTTGAATCCAAATGAATTTCAACACTGGCTTTTTTCAAATCAGCAAAAACTAATCCTCTGAAACTGCTAATACTGAATTGCTCTATTTTTTGCGAAATTAAAGGCTAACAAGACATTTTCATCAGCGCGAAGCACTGAGTATTCATACTGACTTTCAACGTGTTTTGAGTAAATTAATTTAATTTAGCAAGAAATAGACAAACTTCGAGTCCAAAAAACAACAGAAACAGCCGGTTGCTTGAAAATAACAAAAAATGTTTTGACAAAGTTATTTTCCAGAAAAAAAATTTGAAAAAAAAAACCTTTTAAAAAAATATAATTTTGTTGTTTGTTTCAGGTTTTGTCGTTTTTTACGTAGGTGGGGCAAGGCCCAAATTTAAATTTAAAAAACTACAAAAGACTTCACCGCTGTATAAAGGTTAAATTTGAGCCGAGCTAGCTTTTAAAAGGAACTAATATGAATAAAGCATTTGGCTGAAAAGTAACACAACACCGATTTTTCCGCTACGCAGAAAAAACTTTAAAACATTTTTAATTTCAACCAAAATACAACTCTAGGGCTTCAATTTTACATTTCAATCAAAAAATTCTGAAATTAATTGTTATAAAAAACGAAGCAAAAATGCGCCAAAAACAACAGTAGTAGCCACTTGCTGTAAAAGTAGCCCATGTTATTTCGACCACAGTTATTAAAAAAAAACTTGAGCTATGCTGTGAAAAAGAGGCTTGCAAGTGTAAACATTGGGTATATTATATAACAGTTGCTTTGAAAATCATGAAAATTTAATAAAAACTTCTACTTACCTTTGTCTTTTTTTTGCGAGAAAACTTGGATTGCCCAAATGATTTAGCAAAATGATTTATCAAACACTATTTTTCCTTTTCCAACTTCCTTTACTCGCTCGCAATTAGACTAAAAAACAAAAATTTCTAACTGATTTTTTGCAGCACCTATGTTGCTCGAGGCACACTCGCAAATTTTTTATGTTGCTAGAGGCACACTCGAAAAGGCATCAATATGATTTTTCACCCAACTCATTCTGATTCTTAATCATCGTATCTCATCTTATGCAGAAAAACGTGAAAAAAAAACTTATTTTCAGTGGTCAGAACAAAATTACACACACACACACACACACACACACAAATACTTCTTCCCTTTCATTGGCCAAAACAGCAATGATAGCAGATTGCTGCGCAAGAAGTACAGAATGTTTCGACAGACATGTTTAAAGTTAAAGGCTTACAAAGTATCAAAAAAATCAAAATTAAAAAACATTCACCGAAAAAAATCAGTTCTTCATTTGTTTTTTTTTTAAGATAAAGAAGAATTTATTAAGGTACAGGGCTGCAAAAAAATACAGAGCTGCTGGAGGAATCATTGCTAAATTTAAATTAAAAATGCTCCTGGTAATTTAACTCCGAGTAAATTTTGGTCTGTTTTTTTTCCGCACTGAAACAACTTTTTGAAACTTTTTGGAACCCAAATCACGGCCAATAGTGTTTGAATATGATACACCACTTGACCCCCTACGCGCCTTCTTAACCACAATCGAGCGGGGAAAAACAAGCTAATCCACAGTTCCTTCCGACCACCTTCAGGGGCGCTGAAAGGAACAATAAAATCCCTTCTCAGTTTTCTTATCTTCAGCAATTGCTTTGGAGATCCTTGGAGAAATCTTGGTCAAAAAGAAATGAAGAATAGTGTGAGCTCTCAGCATCCAGATTCTAAAATTGGAAACGGAAGGAATCAAATTCAATTCTTGTGACAATGTGCCAGACTTGGTCTTTCATTGCTGTCTGGCCGCTGTTATAAAGAGCCCTCATTTTTGCTGATTAATCTGTCCCGGGTTCAATTTAGGAGAAGAATAGAGCATAATAAAATTTTTCCATAGCGCTCCAATAAAGCTTGAAGAAAAGGAACCGAAATATTCCATATATGGAAAAGTTCAAGCCAACTAGATACTTATTTGTTCCTAATTTCAGACTTCAAGTCGCAAAAAATTGAGAGGTCTAACTGATTTAAATGAAGTGGTGGAAATGGTCAGAAGTTTGCAGTTACGTAATTTATTATACGCACGTAGTTTATGATGTTATGTAATATCTTTTGACACAAAAGGTCCAATGGTGGCATTGATTTCTTCAGTCTATCAAAGAGAAGATGAAAGTAAAATGGACGCCCTTTTTATATTTTTCTTAAAGGGCTGAGATTAATTGCGATCTCAGTTGGTCAATTTTTTTGAATGGAAACGCTAAATGACGCAAATCCAGCACAATCCAAAGTCACTTAATGAAAGTCTTTTATACTGGTGCCACGTTTAAATTACGCGAATCGCGATGTATTTGTCCCCCGGGGCTAAAAAGTGCTTTTCAGGCATCCGCGTCACAGAAAGGGGCCATAATCAAGAGAGCCCCAAGAAATCAACTCAATCTGGACCCGCGCTGGGAGAATATAATTTCCGCTTTATATTTGACTTTCCTTAACGAGCCGTAATATTACGGCCTCTCATTGCGCAACCAGTTACCATCGGAAAAAAATTACGTAACAGAAATATAGAGGGAATTTTCAGCGAAGACAATTAAAAGTAACAGTTCGAAACGGAAGGCATCGATTTTTATCAATTGTAATCTTGAGTTCCAGCAAACATAGTTCAGTTTTTGATTTGACTCTCTGGAAAACGGTCTGTCTTTTAGAGATTGGATTTTTTTCCAGCATAATTAATCAAGAATTGTCATCTTTCGCAAATACCGGATCAACTTCAACCTATCCACCAGCAATTCTGTAAGTTAAACAAGGATGGTCGGTGGCTGTGCATGTAGCACAGAGTGTTGCGAGTAGAATATTTGATACTAAATTTTGAAAACAAAAACAAAAAAAAATCAGTTGTTTTTTCTTTTCAAAGTTTCAACAAAATTTCGATATTTTTTTTTTGCTATTTCCATGCATCCTGTTCGGGAGGTTTAAAAAAATTTGAATCAGGTGCTAATATTTAAAATCAAGTTTTTTGGCCAATCCCTTCCTCAACGGAATTTTTGACGTGTTTTTTTTTCTTCAAAAAATTGCCTGCAGTGCATACAAATTAGCGAAATTTGGTCTTTATAGAATTCGACGAGAACTCGGAAAACCAGCTTCGTTGACCTAAACAATACCCGACACACCTAAATTTTGGCGTTAAAAAAACTCGTTGATGCAAAAAGAAGGTTCTGCTCTATTAAGTCCGGTAAAAAATGCGCACGCTTAGATTTAAAATATGAGATTAATCAACCGCGTTGATTTAATTGACATCGATCATGGAGTAAATTTTAGAAAGAACTCTTTGATACATTTTTGGTATCATCTCTAGCTCGCGGTCATTAATTGATAGCATAATCCCATCTGAAATGGATAAATAAACTTCGTTCACGAACAGTCTCGATAACTCAATTCAAATCTTTGATGCTTAACCTTTATTATAAATCTTTCTTCAGACACTTCTGAGGCAATGCTCGTCAACCTAATTTGACCTTGTAACTAATCAGAAGGTTCGCCCAAACGGCTGAAAGAGCAAAAGGTAGAAAATATCCATCATAGATCAGATATCACATCTTAATCAAATTTTTTTACATTAAAGTAAGAATTATTATTTTTTGGTAAACATCTAAATTCAATGAACCCTTGGTTGACTCAGCATGTTGCCAAAAACAAATTTACAAAAAAATAATTACATAAATTGGTCATAACGATGGAATATTATATAGTAGAAGTTAGCCATACCAATTCCCCCTCAGAAATTCGACCCCGTGAGCACGCAAAGGGTTCCCCAATCAATACTATTTTACATCCACTTTAGACTGGATAAAATATAGATCTTTCCAAATGCGCCTACTAACACAAATAACTTTCAGTCAAAACCTTCTTAAAAAACGTCATTTTTGGCATGTTTTTTCCCTAGTACTTGAGAGAGCTAAGACATCAATTTTCAAAACAGTCGACGAAAATTCAAAATTTTTTGGCCCGTTACATAAATTCGCTTTATTTTAATTTTATAAAGTTTTTAGCAAGATTTTTATAAATTCGGTAACGAATACAAGAAAACTCATCCCCCCTTGCTACAAAACTTTCGAAATGTATATTTTATAAATTTTGAAAGGTTCGTTCATTTAAGCAAGAGAGCAAATCTGAGAAAATGGATGCTTCCGGGTCCTCAGCTGTGACTAAAAAGAGAGGCAACTGGCACCACCAACTGGACTTCGTCTTGTCTCTCATTGGCTACTGTGTGGGGCTGGGAAATCTGTGGCGCTTCCCTTACAAGTGCTACAAAAATGGGGGCGGTGAGTACACTAACAATCATAATTAGTAAATTCGTTTTCAAGGGGGGAACAATTTCTTTGCTTTAACGAAATTTTATTGAAAAAATCCCATCATGGAAAAACGCCAATAACGCCCGCCAGTTAGCTGCCTATCTAGAGGTGTCTTCAATAACCAAAAATTTTGCAGAAATATTCTTAAACTCTTCATCACGCAAAACCCTTTTTGTATTATTTTACAAAATTCAATTTTTTTAATAACTGGCCCTATTTTTTTCGAGATGATTTCTGCGCCAATTTGAATTAAACTCAAGTTTTTGGGAAAGCTTTATAAACAATTCGATTATGTAAAAAATTGAATTTTTCAAAAAACCTCTATTGCGATAACTTATATCCGCGTCGGCTTTTCAGCAAATTAGTTTTGAAATAATCTTGAGGTCAAAGATTTAAAGCGTACTCTCAATTATAAATATTGTTTGCATTTTTTTCAGGTGCCTTCCTCATTCCCTACTTTTCCTGCCTCTTCCTCGCTGGCATCCCACTGTACTATGTGGAACTGGCTCTCGGTCAGTTCACCAGTCGGGGCCCGCTGGGTTCATTCGAGATGGCGCCCATTTTCAACGGAATCGGATACGGAATGGTCATCATCTGTGCTTTGGTTTGTGTATACTACAACGTAATCATAGGCTGGATCATATACTACCTTTACAACTCATTCAGCCGGGAATTGCCTTGGGCCTCGTGTAACAATCCCTGGAACACCAAAAACTGTTCCAATATTAAGTTCGACTGTCATGAAAAAGGAGGCGTTATGATCGGCTATGATTGTGAGATGAATATGACGTCGCAACCGTTGACTAGCCAATCAGAAGCCGTGAAAGTCAAATGGGTTCCGGCAAGCGAAGAATTTTGGAAGAACCACGTGTTGAACCAGACCGGTGACATCTCAGAGTTTGTTGGCTTCCAGTGGCATCTTTTAGGCTGCACGGGACTAGCTTGGATCCTGGTCAACTTTTGCATGTTGCGAGGAATCCGAAGCACCGGAAAAGTAGTCTGGGTCACGTCAACTCTTCCATACTTGCTCCTGTTGATCCTTCTGATTCAAACCGTTCAACTCGAAGGCGCAATGGAAGGTATCCGGTACTACTTGACTCCTCAGTGGGACCGACTTCTGGACCCTATGGTCTGGGGAGATGCGGCACAGCAGATTTTCTACTCTCTCGGTCTGGCGTTCGGAAGTTTAATGACCATGGCGAGCTACAACAGATTTCGAAACAACATCGCCAGGGACGCTCTAATCGTTTCGAGTGTCAATTGCTTCACGAGTGTTCTTGGAGGCTTCGTCATCTTCTCGGTCATTGGATTCATGTCGGCTGAAACTGGACAACCCGTGTCTGAAGTTGCAAGCGAGGGAGCTGGATTGGCGTTTGTTGTCTACCCAGAGGCCGTGGTTCGACTCCCGGGATCTTCGATTTGGGCTGTGGTGTTTTTCTTGATGCTTCTTTCTCTCGGGTTGGATAGCCAGGTAAGACATTAAACACTAGTTTATGTGCGCTTTTATGTTTACGAAGGTACTTAGTGTGAGTTCTGTTTCAGTTCTCGATGTTGGAGACAGTTACGACAGCCATCTTTGACAAATTCCCCCACACTCGCAACTACAAGCCAGCAGTGGTGGCCATCCTCAGTCTAGGCATGTTCGTCATCTCCCTGCCCATGGTCACTCAGAGTGGCATCTACTGGCTCACAATTTTCGACAACTACAGTGCCGGATTTTCTCTCATGTTTCTTTCGTTGTTCGAGACCATCTGTGTTGTCTACACTTACGGTAATAACTTCATTTTTAGTTTTGTTTCAGTTCTCTTTAACTCGAAACTTTCGCATCCAAAATGTGATCATTTAAGTTTCATAATTGGCTTTTAAGTGCTTTTATCTTGAAAATAATGAAACATCAGAAATCATGGTAGAGTTTAGTTAGTAACAAAAAGTTACAAAATGCAAAATTGATTCGAAAAAGCTATTGATCTTAATTGCAAAAAGTTGACATCTAAGAAAAACTACCTGATCATGCAATGCAGATCTTTAAATTACATTTCAAGCTCGCCGGAAACATCAACTTTCCTCTTTTAGCAAAACTTTGTCAAAGCCGACAATCTTTTTTTTAAACTTAATTATAACCGCTCAAACGTTTTGCAACCTTCTGTATGCTTTTGTTTCTGCTAGGAGTGAAGCGATTCTCGTGTGACATTGAAATGATGATCGGATCCAAACCGGGAATCATTGTGAAGCTCCTCTGGGGAATCGTGACACCAGTTCTCATGCTGGCCATATTCTTGTTTAATATGTACAACTATGCGCCTGCCTCATTTGAGGGAAAACCCTTCCCCGTTTGGGCTGACTTGATGGGTTGGGGATTGTCCATGATGTCCATACTTATGGTCCCAATTATGGCCATAGTTGAGGTGTCACAGGCTGAAGGGGACTCTATTTTTCAGGTCAGATAGTCCTTTGGTTACACAGACTTGTCATATCAGCAAGTCTACTACATCAAATAAGAGAAAAAACCGTCTGTTTCCTTTAAAAATATTCAAAGTAGCTACATAATTTCAGCGCAAAAAACCTACATGGATTTTCTTTACATCTTCTAATGAGCAATTTTCGGAACTAAAATTGACATCTGTGCTACTTGCACAACAGCAGGGTCACTTTTTTGTTCTGACCACTAGAAGTGGGGAGGAACTTTGTATTCGGCTGAAATTTAGTTTTATTTTTCCAAATTTTGTTTTCCACGCAAAATTTGGTACCACAAATAATCGACAGAAGGGGACGAGTAATATATTATCTTGAAGACCTTGCATGATTCGAACCTATTAAAAATTTCCCAAGAAATCTCCGCAGAAAAACAGATTTTGATTGTTCGTCTAACTTCGAGCAAATAAAGCAAGCGAGCAGGGCTAGAACACGCAAATAAGACGTTAAAACTTCTAATTTCACCACAAAATAAAATTAGTTTTTGGACTTTTTCCAGCGAAATTTTGGGAATCAAAAATTCTGTAAAAAACTTAAATTTTGAAAATTTGTTAATTTTTTTACGATTATTTTTTTGTTTTCCTAGTCATTTTTCTGAAAAAAAAAAACTGTTTTCCAATTGGCCTATTTTACTATGAATGTAGAATATGCTCAATGTACATTTTTCTTTCAGATCTTTTTATCACACCATGCAGAAAAAAAGGACACTAACTTTTTTGTATTTTTTAAGACTGGTGGGAACATTCAGTGCTACTTGCACATCAACCGGTTATCCTTGTTATAACTTCCTACTGTTGTAGAGAGTGAAGAAATGTCTTCAACCTTCGGCTAAATGGGGCCCCTCTGAGCCAGCAGACCGCATGGACTACCAGCGGAAACTGAATGCACAGAACAACAACACTAGCAATGCGAACTCATCTTCCTCCGCTAGCCGACAGGGTCAAGTGCCGACAAAAAAGGAAGCCGAAGACGCAATTGCCAACCAAATATCTGCCGTATAAATGCAATAACACAAGTGGGCGATAGATTTAAATAGTAGTCCATTTCTAAGAAGCGTCTATATTTTTTTTTCGAATCAAGGCAGAAATTGAAACTTTGAATAAAGGCAAGCTTTGTATTTGGTATAGTCAGTTAGAACCTCACAAGTTATTGAGGATCAATGTGCGTTTCCAGAAGTGGTAGAAAATTTGCAATGGGCGAACTAGGAAAATCAGTCGCTCCTTACGTGCTATAGATCACATAACTGAAGTAATCAAGTTTATGAACTTGAAATGTCTGAAATAATAAACGCAAATAATTTGTGAATATTTATTTTTATGATTGCCATATATTTTGGTTTATATTCAGTTTGTTGCAAAAGCACTACATTGTATTTATTTCAAAACGAAAAAAATATTAATTTGTAATTAATGACCGAATCTCAGATTGAGCAACAGGATCATTTTAACACCCCCATCAAAATTACATTAAAAAACATAGGAAACCGAAAAAATATGAAAAACGTTCAAAAAGCCAAGGCCAACCAAAATTTTCGTATGTCTTGATGAACCTTCATTCTAGTCAAAAATGCCAGGCAAAACAATTGACTTAAATTAGCAATAAAAAAAACTTATGAAGCGGAAACAAGGCCGATAATCTTTGAGCAGACACCAGTTAAGCCGAAAATAAAAAGGTAAAAAAAAGTGTTAGTCCGCCCTGAAACTACAATGAACAACACTTGCAACAAGCACGAAAATTGCTCACATCACAAAAAAAATCCTGATGTGTCAAATAAGTCAACAAAAGCGGAGCCGACAAACGAAAGTCCGACAATTCAATTTTTTACCAAAAAACTTACTGAAAAAACGTAAGGCCGGGACTCAAACCCCAGAGCATGAAAAACAAAGTCGACCAGGTTACCTTATGGACGAGTAGGAATGAACCTGCAAGTTACGAAGGTGCAATGATAGAGCAAGTAAGACTAAATTAAGTTGTATACAGAAAACTCTAGTTCTCGATTACAAACAAGACATTTGCTCCCGCAAATGTAAAAAAACTGAAAAGGATAGTGCTACTGTATAAATAGCAGAAAAGTCCAACCACAATTTTATGCAAGTTTTCTTTTCGAGTAAAACTGTTTTTACGGCGTAAGTAACAGCTTGCCGCCCTTTTATAAGCCTGCTGAATCGCTTCATTTGCTTGAAGCTGTATAAAAAGTAAAAATTTCAAACCATTTTTTCTCGACAATGAGAACACTTTTTCCCGAAACAGTTTTTTCCACACTCATAGCCTTCCCTCTCGCAAAATAAACCCTATTATTTTTAACTGCGTTAGCGAAGAAACCACTGAACTTCTATTTAACTACCCGTTAAACGAAAACCATGTCGTAGGTTTTCAAAACCGAGACGAAGTTTTCTCCTTTGTTTTTCAATATTTTGAATTTATTTCAAAACTCAACCATACTCAATAAAAAACCAAGTGCCTTGCTGAAGCCTAACCCTCTAAGGTTATTTGTATTCCTCCAATCAAAGTTGACACCTCAAAACAATCTCCCTCCAGAAATACCCACGGTAGGTTCTCCCAACTCCGGTCCTGCTTTTAAACATATACTTATCCCGACTAGACATTCCACCCCACTTTACCTGTCTTTTTTTCAAATACACTTTAAAAATACATGGTCATACCCCCTGCAGGCCTCTGTGGCTTCGGCCGGTGGATGTCGCGAAGTTCCTAGACGCGGAGACGGACAAGCCCAACCCGACCCCGGGCTACAACAGTAACAAGACTTAGGCTGGAAAAAAGGGAGCTCGTATTACAACAAAGCGTTTGCTAGAGGAAAAATTCCACTGGATTTAAAACCGATCAAAACTATCTTTAATTGAAATTTTACAATATTTACATTTTAGTTTGTACAATTCACAATGAAATTTGTTGATGATATACAAAATAGATTTTATGGGACCTTATTACAATACTTTGCGAATGTCCAAAAATTTTTACTACGCAACTCACTTAGTCATATCTAGCCTGTTCTGTTGAGTCGTTACAACTCTTTCAAATCTTCCCTAATCATTGACAAGTCCTTTCTGAACTCAGTTGCATTTGAATAAGGCTGTAGGTCTTCTTGTTTGGTCGAGAAGGAAGAGAAGAAATCACTGGCCGCTCCTACGACGTCGTTCGGCTTCCGCAGCAGAATGTACTGCACGAAGTCGGACAGGAGACTGTTGAACTCAGGGTGTTCGTTCAAGTACGTCGAGTGACTCGATTTGTACTCATTCTAAAAACATACATTTTTGTGGGGGAGTAGCGTAGCGACTTGCATGCGTGCCGCTTTGCATGCACAATTATGATAGTTACACACTTTGATGCAGCACCCATCAGTTTGAGTTTCAGTTGAAAATATGAGAAAACAAACTCAATTCTAGTTGCGCTATTAGCCGCAATCTAAGCAGCACGGATGCAAGAGAACCGTTCCCGCATTTTGTTGACTTTTTTGCGAGCTCGGTGCGAGTTTGCCTTATTTAGTTTTTAATATTTGAAAACTGAACCTTAAATTTTGAATTTTTAAAATTTATATTTGATATATTCGCAACAGAAATAAAGCGAAGTATCGTATCCATACCCTTCTCAAAAAAAACCATTAAAAATGCAATAAACACAGTTAGGCTAAAACATTAATTCTCTATTTCCAATAGAGTCGAAGAACAGATTTGCAAAGAAACAGAAAGCCCGAATTCACTATATCTACTAATTCAAAGAACTCAATATTGCTTGAAAATTGAAAGATTCAAGTGACCAGATAACCTTCTTTTGGTTGAATATGGAGTTGAGCTCAACATCGTCCTCGTAACTGAGTGGTTTCTTGGGTACCTCTGGTTTCGGAGGCAGATCTTCTACAAATCAAGAAGTTAATTAACATTTCAAGAAAAACATGTCGGTGTAATTATCTTAACTTTACACACAGAGGCGAAGCGGAGCTTCGCACCATTTGGGATGCAACAAACATTAGAAAATTTTAGATGTTGAAAAAACTATGTGAACCAAAATTTTCGTGTACCACGATAAAAAATAACTACGGGCCCAGGTAAAACATGAGGTACATGTTTGATATTGAATGAATTTGCTATACTGATGCGGCACAAAAAGTGTGATTTCAAAAATTGGACTTTGCCTAAAACCTTTGTTGTTTCTCTACTAAATAATTGAGAAGAGTAAATTTTGAGAAAATCAATTTTCCCGAGGAGACAAAAATTCTTTTACAGAAAAATTGAAAAACCGCCGCTTATGCAGAAACAATTATTGCAACCTGTTCTGTCAATGAAACTTTTCATCTCAGATTTGATTGTGTAAATTAAAAGAAATTTCAAAAAGTTTCCAAAAAACGGTCGAAAGTTCTAAAAACATTCGAAGACTTTCCAAAAGTCGTAAGATTTTTCTGCAAACAACAGGTTATGGCCGCTTAAGCAACAAAAACTTCCAAAGCCGGGTTTCTCGATTGAACGCAACCTAAGAATTGGACCTTATACAAACTGGGCACAGCCAAACAAAAAGGTAGGCTTTTAACAACCTGTTCATTCCATCAAACCTATATTATCAGACTTGGCAGGATAGTTAGCGAGAAAAGTCCAAAAAACGGTCAACAAATCAAAAATTTGACGATTCCGAGAATCAAAACTTTTTGTCTGAAAAAAATATGCCGAACCGTTATTCAAAGGGTTCACGCAACTGTAATTTCAATTGAACCCAAAATCTTAGATTTGGGAGGAAAGTTTTCGAGAAAAGTCAAAACTTTAAAAAAAAAACAGTCACAAAATCAAAACTTTGATTTTCCGAGGGCCAAAACTTTTGGAGCTAAAAAAAAAAATTGTGCATATTCGCATAATCAAATGAGCTTCGTGAAACCCATTCCTAGAATTGAACCCAAAATATCAGGTATGGCAGGTAGTTATCGAGATATTCAAAAACTTTAAAAAATGGTTAAAAATCAAAAATTTGACTATTCCGAGGGCCATAACTTTGTGCAAAAAAAAAAAAATTGGTCGTAGCCATTCATGCAGGGTACCGTTTCAAAATGGTGCAATTCATTGAAGCAAAAACTTAGATTTGAGAAGGGTAGTTTTTGAGAAAGCGAGGAAAAAAATCAAAATTATGGGTCAAATATTCAGGCATGCTTTTCGAAGGCTGTAGACAGAGGGGTCAAATTTAAAAAAAAGATTCAAGGGGAGTACACATGCACTCAGAGGAGTAAGCGGTCTTTCAATTGATATCCTTTTTGAAAATCAGTAGAAATTTCCGAGAAAAACTAACACTTCTGCAACAAATGAAGTGTCTAAAACGAAATTTCAACAAACCGATTGGTAAACATACAACCAAATTGAATAGTGCGGAGAAGAGTGCTAAAATTAAGCTTATGTTGAAGTGGCCAACATTTAGGTCATAAGGCCGATGAAAAATAGACCAAAATAATTTTGGCCGAGGAATTTTTTTAGCGAAACAAAAAAAAACAAAAATACGAAGTTAAGGTAAGTACTTACAAAATGTAGGCGTAAATCAAACACTAAAAACAACATTAAAGACGAATGCGCACAGAAAAAAAAACAATTCCAAGATGTGACAACTAAGTCGACAACAGATCAGCAGACAAATAATAGGCCGAAAATTTTATATGAAACAGAATATTTCCCGTTTGAAAAAAAAAACAGGTCCTAGTCAGATTCGCACCCAGGACCTTTGCCGTCCAAGGCATATTCGTTACCTTCAGGCTAAGACGGCCGGGAACGCTAAGAAAATTGAATACATAATGAAACAAGGTAGAGATGAGTCCAAGCGTCCAGTTGAGTCCTTTGGACAAAGTTGTTTATGGGGGAAAAGTCTAGTACCCGGTTGCAATACCCTTGCTTATCGCAAGGGTAACCAAATAGTACCCGAACATGACAATATCGAAAAAAATATCCTCCACGTAGAAAATTCACTTTTTGATAGAAACTCTCAATTTCTTAGTTTCCCTTGAATAATTAACTATCTTTCCTATAAATTCACAAAAAATTATGGCCACCATTATTGAGGAAAAATCATCTCCGATGAGATTACTTCATCAATGGTACCAAATTATTACCTGCGATGGGTTTCAGAGGCAGCTTGAGGATTGTCATGGAAATTGGAGAACCAATCTGGAGCCGAGTGGCAAGGTGCCTAAACAAAATTATCTTTTAGAAATTCACGTCTAGCTATTTAAAGAAAGAGAATGTGTGCTAATTCGTTTTTGAGAGGAAATTTAGTCGAAACAGACGTAGTACAGATTTTCTGATATTTTCTCGACAGACAGACGATTGGGAAACTTTTTCGTGGCGTTGAACTGGAATTATGTAATCCTCTGATTGAAGAAAGAAATAGTTCTTGAAAGATAGAAAAAAAGTATAAAAGATTTCTGAGCCTGCTCTAAAGAATTTATTTTATTTTATGAATAAATAGGTAGAAGCAATTGCCATTCCATTTCTCATTTTATGTCAACTTTTCTGACGAAAGTGAAATTTCATCTACCGATACAGATTTTTGACTGCAGATAATTTTTTTACCAGGAGAAATAATCAATTTTGGCGTTCATATTAGAGATGGTCAAATTAGAGATATTGACATCGAATAGTTAACATATTTAACATTTCCTCACCCAGAGGCGAGGTAAAAAGACTGCCAGGTGGCCGGCAGTTTGCTGGCGGAGTCCTTCACGGCATCCATGTCTGGGGTGAGTTTGGGGGGCTCCACCACTATGGGGGGCTGTGGACGGGAGTGCTCGTGGGGGAAGACTCTCCTTTCGAAGCCACTCACTCTCACTCGCTGGCTGTCAATTTCCACATCTATGTCTTCCAGAGATTTCTTAACACATCATGAGGATTCAAAACATGGGCTTTATTTCTGTCTTCATTTTGCAAGTTTTGACAATAATTCCTACCATGCATATTACCGTATGAACAATTTTTATTGTAATTTTACGAGGTGGATGGTAAACTGGAAAAAACTCATCGCCCACCATATTCTACACACCGCCTCGATGCGAAATTAACCTGACTTCCTTAAAAACCAATTAGCGGTGATCAGGCGCGGATCTACGAATTTCTCGAGGGGAGGGGGAGGATTTTCAAAAAAAAAAAAAAAAATGATTTTCTGAGCTCTCTCAAAACACTATAAAGACCCTAATTTGAGCAAATTTTCTGCGCCGCAGGCAAATTTTTAAAAAACACCAAAAAAGGCGTTTTTCTGCATTTTTAAAAAAATATTTATCAAAAAATCGCGTTTTTTCGGCGCGCGCTCCCCCTCAAAATTAGCATTTTTTGGCGCCAAGGCGCCTTTAGAAAAATTTAGGGGGTCCGTCAGCCAAAACGGATATCTCAAAATAGTTCAAAAGGGGGACCCTTTGGGTCGGCAGGGGGTCGAATCCCTGAGGAGCCCCCCCCCCCCCCAATCCGCTACTGGCGGTGAGTGATGGCACATGGCGCTACAAGACAACGAATTTCTGCAAATGATTATAGAAAAAAAACAATATCCCATATCGGGCGCAGATACAAGATTTCCGTGAAAGAACTTTCAAATATTTGCCGGTCTTTTATTGTCAGCCACTACCCAATTAGTTTTCTGAGCTCTTCGAAATATTACTCTAGATACCTACTGGACGAGTTATTCAAGAAAAAAAGCAGGCCAAAGGTGACATTTTAGGTCCCGTTCTTTTTAAACCCAGGTGTCCTGATTAAGGTAACTGACTCACGTAATTGGACTTGCACAGATTGCAGTCAGCGTCGAATGCAATGAAGTCCATCGTGTCAAACAACTCAGTGAGCGGGGTCTCGTAAGAGAAGTATCTCTGCAGCACCACGTTCGCTCCCTCTGAAACCAATTACTATTGTTATATATTGGACTACCCTAAACAGAGAGCAAGTGGACATCAATTCCGACACAGAGGCGGAGCTAAACCCTTTCAAAAATGGACTTTAGGCTAAACCCTAGTATTAATTTAAGTAGGGGATTAACCACTTATTTAAAGGAGAAACATACTTCTGGATCTTTCAATTGAAGTCTTTATTTCAGATTTGGCTCAGTAGTTTTTGAAAAAAAAATTGAAAAAGATTCCAATAACCGATCAAAAATATGACTTTTCCTAAATCCATAAACTTTTCTCTAGTTCAACTTATTTTTAGATTGAAGATTTTCGCTGATTTTTTAGATTAGACCCTTAATATCAGATTTAGCTAGTAGTATTTGAGAATAAAGACAAGAATTTAAATAAAAATCTAAAAAAAACGGTAGAAAATTAAAAAGGAATTTTTCCGAAGTCCATATCAACTTTTCCACAAAAATTAGGGTAAACAGATAGCATAGAGAAAATCTAATCACCATTTGTTTTTAATGAAATATTAAAGTCAGATTCAGCAGGTTCGTTTTTGAAAAAGAAAAAAATTTCCAAAAACGGGCAGAACTTCAAAAATTTGACATTTTCTGAGACCATATATATTTTTTCAAAACCATAATTTGTTCTTTCAAATCTATCACATAGCTCCACTCAATTTGTTCTTTTGATTAACTTTTTCAACTCAGATTTGTGCATTTAATATTTGAATACAAAATATGCAGGCATATAGAAGAGCAGCCGGTTTTTCCATTGGTACCACTTTTTTTTGGAAATCGTAGAAACAGTAGCTTGTGAGAAAAATTGAGATTTTTTCAAAAAGTGCAAAAAATTTCCAGTGTCGCAAAAAAAAAACGAAAAACAGCAAATCCCATAAACTTTTAAAGAACATTTTTTTTTCACCCAGGACCTTAATCTGCTTGAGAAAAACTGAAATTTCTGCGAAAAGTGCAAAACTTTTTCCTAAGAAAAAAAACGAAAAACAACAAATCCCATACATTTTACAGAAGATCTTTTTTTTCACCAGGACCTAACACTAGCCACAAAATAAAGAAGCAACATATGGCATTAAATTTTTCATGCCTAATCAAGCTTAAATATGGTTAAATTGAAATATATTAAAGTGTCGCCAAATGAGCACTTTTTATTCGCAACTTAGGTTAGAAATTTTTTGTTTTCGTAATACAACACTACGCTTCGCTTGTGTAACAAAAAGACATGTGAAAACGACCATAAGCCAATGCTCTCAGACGGTCAATGCTCTTCCAAGCACGAAGATTCCAATAGGAATTTAAATAGTTGTATTATGAAATCATTTAAACTGCAAGCGAAAAATTCAACGAACGACTCGTTTTGAGGAGGCAGATCTTATTTTTGGCCGCTGCTTTTGGGCCTTACACAAGAGAGCACCATGCATCCTTGATTAAAATCTGCTCCTAATATTTCTTATGAAATGCTACCTTATTCTTGTCTCTCATAATTAATTTTTCGAGTACCCGTCTATAACTATAGTACCTGAAATGAATCCCATCATTGATTCTGCCGAGTACGACTGAATAACTTCTTTGGCTGGCCCATTTCCTCGGGTCAAAGTTCGTTTTACAGTGTAAGAGCCATCCGATTCTCTCTGCACGAACGTCTTCCGGTCAATCGAATGGTTCTCAATCTTGAAAAAAATAATAATTTATCAATTTCGAATTCATGAAAAAGAAAAACGAATGAGATCAAAACCACAATTGTAAACTTCAGTACAAATTTTTCAGAACAAAATATTTTTAAACTCAATTGTCAAAACGATATAATTCAATATTCCCTCATTTTTCTGGTAAACTTAAAACCCAAATATTTCTGAGAAATTTATATTTAATTTTAGAAAATTTAATCTACGCTTAACTTGCTTTAGTATTTCTGCAAAAAAGACGAAGCGAAGGATAAAAAGCATGTTTCAATTTAACCTTGATATATTCAGTGTGGTGTTGCTCTAGCGTGACCATGTTCTTTGTGACGTAGGCGATGATTGTGGTGCCACAGGGGACTCTGTCTATCTCGCCAGTGCTGGTGGCATGCACACACAACACCTCCTGAGTAGATCGGAACACAGGCTCCACGCTCACTACACAAGCAAACAAACTCATCTTAGACTTTCACATCAGAATATATTTAACATATTGTAACAATGTCCCATCACGGAGGTCATAACTCTACTTGGTGTTGCAATTATATGAGGAGTAAATGAAAAAACGACTGATTGTTATGGAATTTCAAAAAAAAATATGGGAGATAATCAGTTGAGGCCTTTCATTCCGTCACTAGAAGCCTTAACTAGCTATCATTTGCACTATGAAATCAAACTGAATATCCATATTTGAAGCATTAACTCAAGAATAAAAATAAAAATTTGCCTTCCATTCGTTAGATTGAAAAAAAATATATTAATTTGAAAATAGATCAAAAACAATTCGTGAAAAACAAAAATGAGCCTGAACAAATTTTAAATACTTTTCAGAAAAAAACGACCTAAATAAGTAGAATATCTTTTCGTTCATTAACAGTGAATAAATAAGATTATATCGACAATGAATTAGAGCTGTTCGCAAAAAACAATTGACATCATCATGAGCTTTTCTTCATCATGCTAGATAGATGACTTCCTGGACAAAAAAAGACACCTAGAATTTCAGAAATTCTACATCTTCACCACTCAAAACGTCGTCAACTTGGTGTCATTTTAAATGCTGCCGAGACTATTTTTTTGACAAGAATTTCCTTTAACAGCATTTTCAAACGGAGTAGAAAATAATTGATAAAGCAACATTATTAAGTATAACTAATAGAAAAAGTAATAAAGAAATGAGCTCTCTCAGAAAATACATATCTAACCAAATATGATAATATAACCTTTGAATGTGCCGACGGAGTCCCCAGCAGAAGTTGCAGACACCAGTTCATCCTTCACACACAACTTCTTCAACTGAGGCTCCAGATCTGAAGAAGAAGAAGAAACTCTTAAGAGTAGATTGATAACAGACATGAGTGCGTGTAATTATTTAGAGACAAGTGAGCGGGACCTAAAGTCGCACAACATCAAGGGGTAATTCGAAACAGGCAACAAACTATAGAAGATTGAGCGGCAAAAACTGATTCACATGCATATTACCACTCTGGCCAAATGTAAGCGCAGCAAAGCAGGCGGTCGCGAACTTTCAATGCCTTATTTAAACTAGTCGCTTGCTACGAATGGTCGCTTGTTAAGTATTCACACCACAACATCGTAAAAGAGCATTTCGTATCATTACCTAAACTGCTCAAGTAGTCGAGTGCCGACTGGGATGCAATTGGAATAATGACTGTCGGCTCTTCCAGCACTGGGAACAGACCTTCCTGCTTCTTCGCACTCTCAGGTGCCAACATGGCACTGCTCCATGTCCGAGACGAGTCTTCACTTCTGAACACAACAAAGCCATCTATTTAGTAGAATTCCAATCAATGAAGAGCAAGACTATTTATCCTCGAGGCAAATTACAAACATTGCCAGTGCCTCACATTGCAACTTAACCATTCATAAGTATTTTTCAAGGCTATGAATGCTAAAGGCTCGATACTAAGATAGGACTTAAAAAAACGCCTTTAGAATAGTTTATTTTGTTCATGGGCTGAGTGAGGAGCTAGGGCTAAAAAAACAGTTTTTGGATAAACTTGAAGAGAATTTGGGTTTTCCGAACGCTCCTATTCTGCTTCTCTGAAGGAACCCTCAATTAGTTGGTCATTGAACGATTTAAGGAAACTTTTATTGGATCATGCTGTAGGTTCGTTCTACAATAGCATCTTTTATACCCCCAATAGCGTCCAGGACAAAAGATTCCTTCGGATTTTAAAGTAAAGTAGCTTGAAACGACCGGTAAAGACTTACCCCGCAGACATAATTGTATTAGACAGTGGTTGGTTTCGATTCAAAAATCTGAAAGACAGAAAAATAATGAAAACACATTTTGATTTTGAGCAACAATATGACTTGCACCATTCGTGAACACGGTATCAAAATATAAACAGATCTTTGAGTATTATTCGGAGAGGTGGACTAAAAGTTTTCGAAACCGTTCGTTGGTCAACGTGCATATCTTAAAACTTGATCAACAGATGGCGAAGGCTTCTAATTTTACAGGTGCAGAGGTTGTTATCATCAGTCAGCCGCGGATAATTTCTCATTACTCTATAACTAACTGAAAAATGACATTAGAAAATGATAAGTTGCTAAGTTTTTAAGTATAAATGTTCATATCTATTTACAGTTTGAAGAATAGCATCACGAAAAGAGTGAGAATGATTCAAAATTCCCTGCATATGTCCGCCTTCAATATCGATCCTTGTAGCTCCCGGCCAAACACTAAGTGTCAAATCATCTGTATTGCGAGGAATGTATGCATCTTTCGTAGCAACCACAACCGTCGCTAATCTAGGGTCAACTAAGGCACTATAATTTCCTAAATGGGTGGCCGCTTCTAGCAGTTGAAACAACAAAACTTGTGCTGAAATTGTGTCTTCAAGTTTTGTGCTAGAAGCAGATCTAATGAATCTATTTTGATATTCGAATTGGTTTAAATCTGGCATTGAACTTTGAAGCTTAGGCCAGTTAACAAATGTGCTCAGCAATCCCTGAGTATATACGTTTGATGATGTAGTCCAGGACAAACAAGGCACCACAGGAATTGGTTTTGGCCAGGTTGTGGCCGCCAAGGAACAAGTGTAACCACCTAATGATATGCCTGTTAAACAGGGAAAGCCCAGACTTAGCTTTTCCAAGTACCTCATAATGACATTCGCTTCCATAACTAGTGCTGTGCCCATCACTAGAAGATCGGAGACAAATCTGAGTTGGGATCTGAACTGCTCTTTTGGTTTCCTCACTCCGTAAAAAGGGTTTTCAATAATAACAGACCCTAGATTGTGCTCAAGAAGTGGCTTCGCAAAAGATACTTTTCTTCGTACATAACCGTGATCTCCTGTACCTGCCAACACATTACAAGTTAGCAGAGAAATTCAAGTCAAATTGGACAAAACTCAAGCACACCAAAAATGTATAATTTAGTCAGCCAAATGCAGTTTAATTTCCAAGAACGTTTGTTTTCGCAAAACGTCCAGCGATAAACAAAAGTTTTGCCTTTGTTAAGAGCTCAAGAGCTATCTTTGACAGAGAGGCGAAACTTCGCTTCGCGAACAATAGCGAGAAAACGACAAGAACAGCTCTAAAAATCAATGAGATAAAGTAGAAGTAAGCTTCGAAATAGTAAAAATTCAGCTACGTCTCAGATACGATCTGCGACATAGAGATAAAGAGTCTCACGCACTAACCACTCAGCCACGGACTCTTAATACTTCACAAACACTAGCCACAAAAAAAGCAAAGAACAAATGCTTTGAAATGTCCAATGCTACAAAATTAAAGCAAAAAGGCCATCAAATAAGTGAACTTTTAATGAAAGCTTTAATTTGCGAGTTAGATTAGAAAAGTTCACACTAATAAACTATGCTGCTGGCTAGTGTAACAATAAAGAGTGTTGGTGACAGCCATAAACCATGAATTTTAGGTTGCAAAATAGATAAAATTCAAAAGCATGTGCTAGCAGATTTAAGTACAACTTCTAGTTTGGCTTACGATTTAGCCCATTTTTGCTAATAATGTATCAAAAGTGGATGAAAGGTGTCTTTTGTTGAGACAGGCTTAAGGGAAAAGGAATATGTTTTTCTATCAAAACTCAAGCCCACTTTTTATCTTGAATCATTAATTACTCACCAGCGAAGTGTAACACAACTGCCCTGCATCCGTGTTTGGGAACACAGCTCCAAAAGTGACAAGTTTGCGTTTCTTCACGCATGTTCATTTGCAAACTCAGAGGAGACTTGAACTTTCCGGTGAAACAGTCTACTTTTTCATTCGTGTTGGCCTTGTCTGTTGATATTTCGATAGGAACGTCCAAAGGCACTTCTAAGAAGGAGCTTCTTTTTTGAACTTGAGGCATTATGTTCAGAAACTCGAACAGGGCGTTTCCGTCGCTCCATCCATTTACAAAAATTTTGGTTAAGTTCAAGTGCCGAAATAGTCTGTCAAACAAACTTGCTTCTTTGAGGCTGTGTGCCACCTCGGAAATCATTCACTATCTGAAAACTGTTTCAAAATTTATACGCCGCTCAAGCTGCTCATGTTCTTTACGATATATTATGCTCAAACCGAAACGGTCGATTTCTTCCCAACTGCTTTATCAAGCACCAAAGTAGTGCCTCTAAAAGTTTAATCTCCGAATATAAACATCCCTCCTAGATCAAAATATGAATTTGTGTTTTCGCTAGCTAGAAATGCAAGTTTAATTGACTAGTGATATTGTGAAATATCAACAGCAAAAAATAAATCAAGGAAAATGAATTCAATAAAAGAACAGCTGTGCATAATGATATGTAGCAATAATAAATAGGTAAGAATTTATTTCACACTGAGTTAAAGCATTGTATTAGTGTCCATCATTTAAGATCTGGTTACGATACTGGATTGAAATCCAAGTTATGGCACATAGAATAATAAATATATCATCGACTAAGCCTAGAATGCCAAATAATGCTTCTGGTAGCAAGTCTAGAGGAAGAATTATATATATGAGGCAGGTAGAAATGAACACAAAGCTGCGAAATCTAAAAAGAAGTCTGATTCCTGTAACTGAGAAAAGATTGCGAATGAAGTGTCTAATCAGAATGGGCATGTCTCGAAGAATGTCAATCAAAGATCTAGGCTGACCTGAGAATCGTCTGTTGTATGTCTGTATGGATGATACCTGTCTTCGTTGCTGCTCGCTGAGTCTGTCTAGAGGCGTTGACCTGTCCCACATAAGAAGGGTCACTTGCTGCCTGCACACAGGACAATTCAATGCACTTATCACTGTTGACACTTCGTGGAACCTTAACAAACATTCAGAACAGAAAAGGTGACCGCAATTGGTTTCGACTGCCAATCCAGGCATGGAAGAAGAGTCTGGATCGGCATTGCGAAAAGGCACAAGACATATGGGACAGGACTCGCTGTTTAATCTCCCAAAAGCTCCCTGAGTTCGACTTGAATTTTCTCCTCCATCCATATTTCGGGCGCTACGAGTCATCTCGACGTGTTCCATCGAATCCGGGTGCAATTGAGGGTTAACGGCTCTGGCAAAACATTTGTACATCAATGAAGTCACGGAAACAATACCAACGAATGCCGTAAATACGAACGCTAAGACTTCATTGCTTATTCCCTCTATTAGCTCCGCTTGTTTTACGTCGGTAGAACCCGACGAGGCATAATTCCAAAAGCCCATCATCATGCCGGAACGAAAATGGCTCAAATTTTTTCCGAATAGCAGTTGTATTATAATCTATTACATGTCATTTTCATAGCCTCCTAAAACATAAAAACTAATTAGTATATACACAATATAGACTTTCCATCTGAAATTGAATGCGTTTATCCGGCAACATTAACACAGAAGCGAAGCCTTTCTTTACCTGTGAAACCTTCAAAACTTATGCATACCCACAAAACCGCATTCACGAATAGCAAAAAAAAATTTCCCGGACAAAAATTCAGCTTAAAATAGCCGAACTTTTCGGTAACCCGGGAAAGCGGCTGAAACAGAACATGACCAAGACATATGGAAGCGTGCACCTTTATTTGAAATGAACAATTGAAGGAAATTTCGTACCCAAAAGAAGACAGTCACAATTCACCAGTGGATAGCAGAAAATTGGTACTCTTAGTATTCAAGAAAATTGGAAGAAAGGTTAAACAAGGCAATGGGAAACAAGGGCAATGGGAAACATTAAATCAGAAGGTCAGAAATTATTATTGTAACCGAAATTACACTAGAGGACAAAATTAAGCGCAAAATTCTTCTTCTTCTTCATTAAGATTTTCTCCCTCTAAAATACCAGTTTTCAAGGGTGTTTTGGACAACATTCACTGCAAATTTAAACAAAATGAAGGCTACCAAAATCACCCTTGAAAACAGGCAATTTAGAGGAAAAAACTGAAATTGCGCTTAATTTTTCACTAGACCTTCAGAATATCACCGTTTAAAAAACCATTGAAATTTCATAAACTGAGGAAAAGTAAAGTTTAACGTGAAGAAAAGTGAAGAGTCAAGTGGTTGGGAATCATGCCAATCAGAATGAGAAAACTAATGTAACATTCGCCCGGAAGATACATATCGACGGAAAATAAAGCTAGGTTCTAAGACGACTGGCCAACGTCTAAACAGAGCTCTACATGCTTTTCACCGTCTCTACCAAGCCAGTTCTTTTGGTGGTCTTTCCAACATCGGGTCGACAAAAACGTTACTGCTTTCGGCTTCGGTCAAAAAACTCAAATTAACTAGATTACATGCAGAAATAGTGAGCTCATGGCTGGGTCTCAGTATCTCCAGACCACGAGGTCACTCCTAAAAACAGGGCTACTACTATTTATTGAATTATTATTGTTTTTGCTCAGTAGATAAAAATCGTCATCTTCATCGAAGATGGATCAACCCTTTCCCCCAACACCTAGCTTCTCTTCCTAACAAAATGAATTCAGATGTTAATTAAATTCAATTCAGGACATAATAGGGAAGCTAAAAGTTTGTATAAAACGATTTAAGTTCCAGTCCCGAGACCCCTCCGGATTCTTGAATCCGGGGAAATAAGACCCTTATCTTCCTTCCGGAAGGCTGTCTTTCACCCTTCACCGTTGTTCGCAACGGCCTTGCAACTGTTGTAGCGACACAATAGTTGCAACTCGGAACGGTCTCTGCTACTTCTGCAATTTGTTGTTGTTTTCCAATCACAATTCTCGTCGTTATCGCTATCGCAACTGATGTTGTCGTTCTTTTGGTTTTGACGAAAATTTTATCATGTTAATTTCATCTTATCTTTCCAATCGCTCACAAAGAGAACGTATTAACAATATTCTATCTTGCAAAGGTTACATCTCTAGCGTGTACCACAAGGAAGCATTCTAGGCCCACTTTTATTCCTTATGTTGTAAAGTATTCCTCACCGTCTTTATTTGCTGATGACCTGAAACTGCTTTATCGAGACAACTGTCATGACAATTTTCAGTCTGATTTAGATTCGGTAGAGACCTGGGCAACCCAAAACGGTCTTGATTTTCATCCAGACAAAACTAAATTCATTTCAAACAATAGCTTTATTTTCAACCTTTATCTTAACGGGTCAGAAATATGCTCTGTTGATCATATCAAAGGCTTGGGTATTTATATCTCGCCTACTTTGTCTTGGAATCACCATGTTTCTGCGAAACTTGGTAAAGCCACAAAGTGTTTTCATTATTTAAAGCGTAATGTTCCTTTCAACTCACCTGTTAAAACTAAGCCTCAAATGTACATTTCTTGTGTGAGGTCCATTTTACTTTATAACTCTTGTATTTGGTACCCAAATTTATCAAAGCTACGTGATTTGGAAAAATTCCAGAAAAAGGCATTCCACTTATTATACTGACAGTCTTGTGATGTTAAACATACTGCCTATTTGCTATCAAATTATTTTTACTGATTGTCTTCTCTTCTTCAAACTGTTACATAACTGTTATGACTTCGATATTAATGACTATGTTACTGTTAGTGAATCGAGACCGGGTAACAGATCCAGTCAGAGAATGGTATTGGGAGCTTTTTCCAAAGAACAATTCATAGCGTCAATAGTGTTATAGCAAAAGTCGACATCAACTCTACAACTACAGTCTCACAAACCAAGACTCTACTCTTCAATTTCCTTAAACAGCAACTTCAATCAACCTTCAATCTCAATAATCCATGCACTTTTTTCATCAAATGCCGTTGCAACACATGTCGTTCCTGAACATTAACAATTTAACTCAAAGCTTGAATTATGCAAACTCAAAATTTCACTTTTATCTGTAGTATCATTCACTAATAAAGTCTCTTCTTCTTCTTCTTCTTCTTCTTCTTCTTCTTCTTCTTCTTCTATTTCGGTTCTTCCGCCAAAATGGTCGTTTCTGACGTTTCTCAGAAATATGACGTCATACTTCGAAAACTTAAAAATTTGAAACACCAGAATATTCTAGCCTTCACCGTTTGGCTAATCGTTCCAATAACACTGCTAATCCTTCAAAACTGCCAATTCGGAAGGCTAGTTGCTAAAATTTCGAATCTGCATTTTCGTCCATTCTGGTCGAATGTCACATACTCCCCGGACAGTCCGGTCAATGTCCTCATTGAATCTCGCAATGTTCGTAAAATTGGTACAGTGACATCGAGCAGAATTTACAAAATGCACGAAATTACTTTTATCCGCGTCACATCGACTCACTGCAGAATATAAATGGCATCAAACTACATCACTATAGCCTTCAAATTTTTTCACTAATCTGCACATTGTGGATATGACCCAAGATAAAAACATCTTTTCTGACTTCCAATGTCAATGCCCTGATTAAAAACTTTTCTCCTAGATTTTTAAAAGATGTTGGTTTGCAGGACAGTCCTGCCAACCAACAAGCTAAAATGATCCTACTATGCTTCTTCCCTTCGGAAATCTTGCTTGTTATTGTCCTGAATATTAAAACTAAGAAACTCTGTGGTTAGAAAGAACAATGAAACAATCTTTCTCTTCGAGAGATTACCCAAACCTTTCATATCACCACAAAGTGATCAGTTCTCCTAGTTGATTAAAAACAGTGATGCAGGCTGGAATATTTAAGTATACTCTTTACTCAAGCCTTTCTAAATAAATAGTAAGTGTCTCTAAAGCCACTGACTAAAATCAAATGCAAATTTATAAATGCAACAAATTCTTTAATGTTCAAAGCTCAACTAAATGTTTCAGTTTTCAATTACAACTTGGTTGCTTAGTTTCTCACTTGAGTTTTTTCACACACATAAAACAATTCTGAGTTTTAACTTCTTCTCTTTCGTCACTCCTTTGTTTCTCTTCTTTTCTTCGTTTAGAAATTCTAAAACTTCTAAAATCTTCTAACTTTCTTTCTTTTTGCCTCTTGTTCTTTCGACCGTTTGTCAATGTTCCATCTCTTCCTCCTGTGGCACTGACTCTGCACTTTCAGTTTCTGTGTCTTGCAACACATCGTTAGCTATTCTGACGCTGTTAGAAGCAGTCCTCCAATACTTCTGCTCTTCTACCCTCTGTTTGCAACAAGGTAGGGGATCCACGTTAGATTCTCTGTTTCGGCAGAAGCTGTTGTGGAGACACAACGTCACGTTTCTCTCCAAATCTTCCTTCAACATCTCTTCCTTCTTCTTTCCACTACGTTCACTCGTCCTGGAAATTCTCTTTACAGCGGTGGTCACTGCATTCCGATGAGTCACAAAAGCTCGCTTGAAAGCTCCTGCTCCAATGTCCAGCTGATATCCACTGTATTTTTTGGCATTTTCGTACAACCATGCAGTCATGTTAGCTCTGAACCATGGCATCAATCGTCTTCTTGCCCATATCTTTTTCACTTCCATCGGAATGTTTAGAATCTTGCACATTGTCTCAAAAAGATCTAAATCTTTTAGACAACCCAATTTCTGCAACTGTTCTCTCGTCGGTGCCTCCTGTCTATTGTTTTCTCTTACATGAGCCTCCAGCCATCGTATCGCCATCATAACTCCCACTATCACTATCGTTATGGGCCGTGATGAGTCTGGTAAACCCATGGAGAGCAGCTCTCCAGAGTCCCAGATCAACACCAGATTACTACGCTCGGGATACCACCAGGTCTGCAGCAAGCAGTGGCAGGGAAACTCGTCATGCGTCAACATGATGCTCCTCCAATTACGTTTTCCCGAAGCTTCCAGTAATGGTTCCACTTCCATCATCACTCGGTGGACTTCATCATTCTCGTCTACTGTATTGTAATCCGTAACGGTTGATTCTCTCTGTTTCTGTCTTTCAAAGTCACGAACAAGGCTAGTAGTTTTACAATGGATACTTCCACTACTGCTCGGAGAAATTCCTTTATCAAGTAGTGAGAGACTTTCGGGTAGACTTTCGCCAAGAAGGATGCGGTCCATCCGGCTCCTAACCCTTCCAGCATGCTATCTGTCCGTTCAAAGCCTTCTTCCTCCTTCACTTCCTGGGTCCAGAAGATTTCCAGAGTAATCTGGCACATTCTGTTCACAAACTCAGCTGTCTTTTCTTCAGCATTTTCGATGTTCCTTCCTCCTTCATTCGATGTTCCTTCCTCCTTCAGCTTTCCTGTGTCAAATAGTTCTACTTCTAACTCATCCAACCGCTCTTGGTAGACTCGATTCAACCAAGCCTGTCCTTCTATACTATCGAAGTGGATGCAGTCCGTGGTCAGCCTGGCCTGATCCATAGCTCTCAACTCATGTTCGATGTCCATGAGGATCATTCTTCCGGCATTCCTAACCCTTCCAGCATGCTATCTGTCCGTTCAAAGCCTTCT